AGCAGGTTGCTCAAACAGCATCAATGGCTGGAACAGCCTTTGTTTGGATCTTCAACAGCCTGATTTTTTCCGTGTTATTTCTATATGACATAAAGAGACTTGGTTGCCCTTCTGGAACCCGTCTTTTCCCTCCAGGGCCAGGTGGTTAGAGAGCAGAACAATCAGGGAACAGTGCGGACGCCTCGGATCCTTTTGAACTACTCAAACTGCACTCCACAGCCTCCACAAAGATTCTTTTTCTTTTCCCCTCAAAGGCAGCACGGGCACAGACATTCTCAGCACGGAGACTATTTAAGCTGCACAGTCAGAATAATTAATGCAGGAAATGTTCGCCGACAGGAAAGATTAATTTCAGGCTCTGACAAACTGACGTGACTGATTGTTTTTACCAGGTCACCAGACTTTTAATGCTCACGGCCACTCAGGAGGAGCATCCATCACGCTAACCCTCACCCCTGCAGAGGTGGTTGGCGTGTGTGTGTTTCTGGTGTTTTTCTATGCATCGAAGTTTGTATGTAGTGCAGAAATCTGGGGTTTGTTAACCTAATGTATACTAATTTATCAACCTACTGGACCACAGAGGCCACTAAACTCTGAGAAGGTCAAAGCCTCGCAGCAGAGCTGGCCCGGCCCAGAGCTGAACATCTTGCATGCTTCCCCCGTCACAGCCAGGAGCAAACACTCAGATTTTGTCACATTTCTCTTCTTTTTACTTCACAGTTGTCTAGCCACAGTATCTTTTTCTGTCTAGCTGCCCCTCAGATTGTGCAAGTTTTGCCATGTGACAATGGTAGATGTCTTTAATTCTTGAGGCAAGAGTCCAAACTTATGTGTGATGGATATCTAACCTCCAGCGGCTGCAGGAATCCATGTGGCTGGTTAAAATGGCAGCCATGAAAGCATCACATCTAAAAGAGCATTTGTCTCTACCACAAGTTTTTCTTACTTTTACCTCAAATGTTTTTAGACGGCTCTTTTTTGTATATATTGTTGCTTTTATTTATTGGATTGCTTTATTATGTTTTTAATCTAATATAGATTCATTATAAATATTTACAATTTAATATTTGAACTACATGATAATCTGAATTTGATTGAAGTAAAGTATGTTTCTATTTCTATTTCTAAAACCTGCATAAATCATTAGCATTAACAAAGCCTGTACATATATGCAAATTGTTCACACTAAGTGCACTTCTGCACCTCTATACCACCCTAGATGTGGGTCTTTGGAGTGTGTTCTGATGAAAAGCTGCGTGGTTTCTGTCCTCTTTATCATGAAGGACATGGTGCACTTCATGTCCCGCATGAATTCCAAACTGCTCATTCAACAAACAAGGGCGTTTTCCATTTTCTTTTTCCACATTTTCCAGATGTAGCTGACATGGAGATAGCAGGGGTGTAGTGTACCGGTCCCTGCTCACCACTGTTCGGGTCAGTTAATTATGGCCTGGAAATTAATGATGTGTAAGGCGTCTGTCCTTGGACAGACTCAAACTAACGGAGGCATGTGCACACAGATGAGCTCACCAGTGCTTCTGTTCAGGGTTTTCTTCCTGGTTAGTGTGGGAGGTCTGCCTCAGCTGCTCTTTCCTTAGCCAGTAGGCACTATTTAGCCATAACCTTGTTGAATTGGGCTTCATTCATGGGTTCTTGTGCTCTCTTGTAACTTCTACTCAGTACATCTTGTAATTTTTCTTACTCTGCTCCCTTTTGATTATACAGCTCTTCGTTTTTACCAGATTTAAAGCCAGGGAAGGAATGTAAACTGCTCAGATCAATACTCCTAAAACTCCTCTACGGTGTCTATGAAGGATTTCTCTGTCCTTTGCTATCGATCCTTTTTTAACGTCTTTGTCTCTGCCTCCCACACAGAGAGAACCTGGCACAGTAGACTAGAGATTTTGACACTCAGTTTTGGTGTCCTGGCTTTGTTTAGAGTTCTAAACCATCTGACGAACAGATTTCTCAAAGACCTCAACATGCTGCTGCTTTTCTGTCTCCATTACGACAGGAGAGCATACAATGTGCCTCGGAGCTACAGAATCAGGTGAGTGCACAGCAAACCAAGCTGCATCCTGGGGACAGAAAAGTTGACCCACAGGCCAGGCCGGGAAAAAGTCCACAACGACAACACAATTAACACCCATTCTAAAATACCCAAGAAATTTCGTCAAGCACAAAATGAACAAACGTCCAAACAGCGTCAGCTGGAGAATTTGGAGCTTTAGCACCCCCTAGTGACAATTTCACGTTTCTCATTGGGTTTTAACAACATGACCTGCTTTTGTATTCCTGGGCTGGATGAGCCCTCCTCGTGCTCTTCTTCTGTCTTTCATTGCCTCCAGGCGTGTACAGATGTCCGGTGCGTGTCTTTTCTCATGAAGAGGTAGCAACAGCTGCTCCTGTTGCTCTCTCCATCTGAGGCTCTTTGAGGGGTCAGGCTCTCCTCTTTCACATCTGCTGTCTGATTTCCTTGAGATGCTGGACCTGCCCTCTGGCGTTCCACGGCTCCATGTTGGCCCTGACTCAGACAGGCCTTCATCCCGGGGTTGGGTTTTGCTGTGATGAGGACATGCTCTAAGACCTTAACACACACACAGGAATAAATGCCAAAGCCCTTTATTTATTGCTCTCCTCTCAAGCGAAGGCCCTGGCTGTGCATGACTTAGCATAGTTTTGTCTTCTGGTGGTAGAAAGTAACAGTAAATATGCACAGGTACGAAGTGCACGACCTTTCGGATGGAATCATTTTACTTTCAAATTCCCTGCCATTATCTCATGGTTGATAATGCTATTTCACTAAATAAACATGTCTTGCATGCAGAGCACGAGGCACTGGTGTTATGTAACAAATTAAGCCGCCTGACCATTTATAAGTTTGTTGTGATTAGCTGATTTTTCATTCTAAGCAGAAAACTGGCATCTAGTTCGATTTCGAAGACTTGATTTACTGTTCATTTGGGTGAATCCATCATCAGCTGTTGTTGAGCACAAAGGAGCTGAACATCAGCCAGCCACTTTAAAATCTCATTGAAATAAATGAGTGTATGGGTTACACTAATAAATTAACAATGAGCGCCTTTCATTTTCATACTTTAATTAAATTTTGGTGAAAATGTGTACGTATCAAGGTACTTTGACAGTGCGGTTTTAGAACCCCTCCTGTGCTATTGGTTTAAAGTCATTTGAGTTCTTGCTTTTAGGCCGAGTAAGAAAATAAACTAAACCTTTGCATGGGAAGCCTCAACATATTTATAGTATTGATCAACCATAATATGCCATCCAGGAAAGGTCAACAAAGTTGCAATAAATGAATTCCAGATGCATTTTTTCAACAGTTCTAAGAAAAATTGGGGTGTAAACTTTCGCGAAAAAAACAGTCAAACCCATGTGGATGTTGTAGAGATCTGTTTTCATCTGACAGGTTTTCATGTCTGGACGTGTGCGCAGCGGCAGCCTCGTTCTGTGTTGGATGAGGTGCTGCCGGTCTGATCTCTGACACGAGCTCCTGGAGAGCCCTCCTGCTGCGTTCAGAGTTCAGCCCCCGTCTCAGCTCCGGCGGCATAATCAGATGGATCAGAAGCACGTCACAGCAGCCGGTGACCCCAAGGTAGATCAGAACCGTCAACCCAGCGTTATAATGATCTGCTCTGTGCATCCAGCAGCAGCTCATCCAGGTGGTCGGCACATGTCCAACTCCTGGATGACCAATATTGTTGTCCTCGATGGTAAATTGATAAATGTCATCAGTGTTTTCCAGCATTTAGATTTAAAGCCAATAACACCCTAGATAACATTTAAAATGTATGTTAAGCAAAGGATTTAACTGGAATGAGGCAAGTGGTTGTGTAGCTCCGCAGAGCTTTCAGTGATGGCTGATGAATAAATGATGCATCTGCTCTGTATGTCACTCAATAACCACAAGGCACGCCAGAATCATGTTTTCCGTTTACCATAATTTTATTAATAAGTTGTGTCCAATAATACAAGCAAGACACAAGAAAATTTATAACCATGGCAACAATGAAGTTGTCATTGAATCACTCCCCCACTTGTGATTAAATTATTTCGTGTGCACCTGTCGCTTTGGAAGAGCGCAGAAGGCCCACGTGCCCACGAGCCAAAACAAAAGGTGTCAGTTACTGAAGGTCACAAAACTTCAATTATTTACATTCCTCCTGTTTTTCCCTCATTTTCTCCCGAGCAATTTTTTTTTCTTCTGCATCCTCACAAGAATTCATCCCACGTCCTCATTTTCACAGAAGGCTGGCAAGCACACAGATTCACAACTGTGATCTTCATTATCATGCAAAACTGCATTCTAGTGCGCTGTGTTTTGGTAGCAGAGGCACTCAAGACTTCCCTGAATCAACCCCGTCAGACTGAAGGGACAAAGTCTGACAGTGTCGCCTCACTGATGTACGACGCTGACCTTAATGTGTTCCTGAACCATTAGGACTGCTGCTCTGACAAGAACACTGCAGCCAACTGTCTCCTCTGCTATGAGTGTTATCATTAAAGAAACATTTGCATGTGTTGATTGCACAAATAAGCAAAGCCTCGTCTCCAATTTCTTTTAAATGTGTTGATTAATAAAGGACATTTAAAAAAAATAATAATAATCACAAGCCACAAAAAACTGTATCTGCTTCAAATAACATGGATTTCTCATCATAAAAAGGTTGTAGGCATTAGACTAATAAGATCTTAGAACCTTAAACCGATAAAAAGAGCAAGAAAGTTGATGACAAAAATGTATCATTATTTCATGAAAAGAGCCCCAAGTTTATTATAAGTGAACAATTAAAAGATATTCGATCTTTGTGGGGTCTCAGCAAGGCCAGGCATTTGTCGGTGCATATTCTATAGATGAACCACGCCTCTGTGATTCACCCCCACCCCATTCTCCCGCCTCCTCTCCTGCATCACGTCTTTGGCAGCGTCACTTGATGTCTGTCAAGTTTCCCTCCTTAACAATGTGGGCCCATCTGGTCAAACTAGTGCTGTTTCCTCCTGAAGGAGCATCCTATGAAAAAGAGAAAGACACGGTAGTTTAATCCAAAATTCCAGCCTGCCACATTAACACCACGTTCAGGCGGGAGGCCATATGCCAGTCAATGCAGCAGGGACGGTGCCTACGGTGACACACCGTGGAGGAGATGGCTGATACGAGGAAATGCTTGAATTCATGTGGCCATCTGTCTTTTCAAAGCCTGAATCACTTTCAAACAAGTGTGGTTGGCCAAGTGTGCTCCGAGTTGCTGTGCTCCCAGCAACTCTGAGCACAGCACATTGAGGTGGCCTTGATTACCTCGGCAGCAGAGCGGGAGATAAAGTGGGTGGGAGGGGAAAACAAACCTTGGCTTCAGGCCATTCAATAACAGACTGTACAGTTTACTGTTGGTACCTCAATGCTCTCTACAGGTGAACTGCTTCCTCTAACCTTTCATCGCATGGAACACAGTGCCTCCTATCCTGAAACTCACTGTGCCCGTGAATGAGAAGGCAGCTCCTATGTCCAGGTGTGTGCTTGCAGCTGACTGTGCAGAAATGCATCGATGACAATGAATTTCTCTCACGACCACAAGAGTCACTGTATGCCTTATCAGACACCCTGTTCATGGTGAAGTCATGAGAGGGCAACACAAAGGCAAAGGTGGAGGCACTTCCACTCGGAAACACAAACACTAAATGTCTGATACGCCATGGGTGTGGGGGGGGGCTATAAAATCAAATGTGTGTTCTTGGATGCGTGTGAGAGTTAACGTATGTTACTGACTCGATTATGTAAAGCACCTTTGCCCTGCTTTTGTATGAAAAGTGTGAAATATAAACTTTGATTTGATTTAACCAAGCAGCCTAATTTGATAAAGTCAACACTTCTTTGATATTTTCCCTCCAGTCTCAAAAGGTTTTACTAATGTCATAGTTTCATTTTCCTTTACAGGCTAAAATTTGGAGTGTCTTGGTATTTCAACCCCGAGCAATGAAAAAAAACCACGACTATCAAACCAAATAACAACATTCCACTTAAAACTACAAATACTAACAAACTGCAATATTTCATTATCTTATCAATTCTGTTCAATTTAAAATATTAAAATAAACATAAATTCCCCCCATTTGTGCAGGTTTGTGTCTCATTACATCAAACACAAAACTGCCTGTGGTTGGCTGTTGGAACAAAATTCAACTGTACGTCTTTATAAATTCTCCTGGAGAAAGATTAGTTGGGTTACGACAGTATTTCTTGCCGAGAATTTTCATTTCTGGGTGGAGGACTGAACATGTGGATGCAGAAAAAAAAGAAAAGAAAGAAATTATAGTTACACAAGATGAAAATGGTGGCTGATTGTATTTGTCCCTCTGTTGGACAAATACAGATGGTGCACCAGGTACATCTGAGCAACAACACAGCTCGATACAAACAGCTAAAGCTGACGCGTCTGTTTAAAGTGCCGGATGACTCGCTATACATGAAGCAGCAGGAGATAGCTTGCAAAATTTCTCCTTTGTGGTACATTCATAATTAAAAAGACACAACAGACCTTAGGCACTGAAACAAACCAATTATCAAAGGAAAAAAGTGCTTGTCATGCACTCTAGCAAACAGCCTCAGCTTTATGACAGCACTCCCTTTCCAGCAATCTAAACTCATAATATGAGAAACAGAAACCAAATCCTGACTGTTGTATTACAGGTTCTGAATAAATTCACCAGAAGTTAATACAGCTAAAACAACCAATCCTGGAATAGTAAAAGTAGGGAAGGGAGCACTCTGCTACATAAGAATTTAAAAGGGGGCCGCTGGCCGTTCGTACCCTCTGTGAGTCGCGCTTTGCCCCCCGTCGGCTGGCACAGGACGGTGGAGCAGCCCACACACAGCACGACAGTCTGAGCATGACTGAAAACTGTGGTGATCTTGTAGCAACCTGAAACAGAAATTAAAGAGCTATCATGAAACTCATAAGGGGATAGCTCTATCACCAAGACCTCTTTCTGAGAAGTTGAAACAAAGACGTAACCGAGAGGAGTAAAGTGAAAGCTAAAAGGTAAACAACACCAGTTTACTTCCATTAATATATCCACTGGTTCATTTAGAAAAACAACACATTGCCATCTAATCGCAACAGATTACTCCACACGCTGAAGTTCAGACATGAGCAAATCAGCATCAGCTAATTATGCCCAACAGAAAAAATACTTAATTATGTCTGCTTATTCTAAAGAGAGTAAAACTCTGTCCTTGTTCATGGGATTATTCGGGAATCGTAAAAGACTAATTGAGGACTCTGAGATCAATTGAGGCCTAAATTGAACACAAGTATATTCAAGGCTTTGTAAGGACATGGAAAAAAGTCTGGATTTGCTTGTTCTGTCCTTGCAGCTGTTTATGAAATCGAGTAAGTTTAACTCATTTCTCCAACAACCACAACAGTCACTGTATGCCTTATTTGACACCCTGATCGCAACAGAAGCAGCGAAAGGGCAACACATAAAGGCAAAAACTACCAATTATTTCCCAATTTACTAGAAGAAGTTTTAAAGAGATTACTTCATCAATAAATTCATTTTTTGTAAGCTGACCTGGACATTTGACATCCATAAAATATGAATATGGACTCTGGACAAGACGTTTTTTCTTGTGTCTCCTCTTTTCCTCCTCAGGAGTTGGGTTCAGAAGATCTTTTGCAAGCTGGAAGACATACAGCAGAAAATATTTAATACAAAACTGTGATTGTAGCTCAAAGGGGTGGGGGGGGGTTGACATCATCATTATAAAAGCAGTTAGGAATGGTTCACTGCTTTCGCTTTAGAAACTGCGACGAATAGAAAGCAAATGTATCAGGAAAAAACAGCCGAAAATGAATAAGTCCAAAACAACAATACTGTGATTATTATCTGTTTTAGGGGGAATTGGATGACGAACCGTATTTCGACGTTTTCTCTACAAAAATAACAGATGGACGAGTCGCAGTTTTACCACTGCGCAACGATAGTGCGGATCTGTTTTTACGACAAAAGCTAACGTGCAAGCTTTCACTTTGATGATTTATGTAAAAATAAAAAATAAAACATTTCTGATATTTCCAAACGCTTTGTATATATTCATCATTAGTTTTGTCGACGTGAAGTAATAAGCAGCCGCGTGGGCTTCTTTCTCTGACACGTGCTTCGCCATATTGCCTCTGCTCAGTTTTCAATGTTCGCATTAAAGTTACAACGAACTGCTCTCCTCCTCATGAGGGGGCACACATTAACTCTACTACTGTACATAATATGTAGTAAAACACGGCTTTTTATGACTTGTAACGGGCTAATAGATGAAATATTTACTTACAGGCATGTCTGCGTGTTTAGGCTCTGACCGGAAACCCGTGAACAAATGAGCGACACGTACCGGAAGTTGGTGGCTGACTAGGACGACGAACCGGAAGAGGAAAACACGTCTGCTGGAGCTTCAGTTTCCTCCTTAGAAATACAGTATTTCTAATGTAAAAAAATCACTCATATGTTAGTTGAGTTGAGTTAAGTTGAGTTGGAGTAAGTATTGCACCATTGTATTGGTGGTATTAACCAAGATGGAGTCTTTTTTACAATAATTCTTTTGTACAGTCAAATAACTAGAGAATGTGTTAACCTTCAAAATAATCACAATAGATTAATATTTTGAAAGGAAAGAGTAAATTATCTGATCTGACGAGCTGGACACATAAGATTACATTGAGCAAATGTAATATGCAAACTTTCATGACTAAAAAACATTTAATTTGTACACAACAGTTATCCTGTCACATACAATTTGCTCTGTAAATACATCATTTTTGCCTGTGAAATGAGTGGTCGAAATGTCCATTAAAAAAGTTGCTCAAATTGTACATTAGGCCAGTAATACATCGGCTTTAACGTAAGGCATTTTATCTTACTAAATATGCATTATCGTACTTGGTCTGGCAAAAAATAAATGATCATATGTGCTTGGAGACTTATTAGTTTAGTGTTTATGTAACAGTATATATGATCACGTTTAATTAAATTAAATGTTATGTAGAGAATTCAATTGAATGTTTTAAAAGGCTGTAAAGCTTTAAAGCAGCTTTTTACAGTTAGTTCAAACATTTCCGAATCCCCACACGTGCGCTACAATGTGGCCCCTCTTCCCAGTGTTGCCAACTCCTCAGTAAGGAAAGTAGCTATTGGCTCTGCTAAAAGTCGCTAGAAGTCGCCAAATGACGTCATCGCCTAATTTGCATAATCTGCCACGTGACGTGATGTGCTGTAGGGGCCGAGCGGCACCGCGTGATCATTTCGGCCGTCAATCCCGGCGCATGCGCGCTTCATTTGCAGTCCGGACGCTGAGGGTAAACGTGCTGTGGGTCCTCCCCAACCCCCTAATAAACCGGAGGGACTGGTTTTAACGCTGGACGGTCGCTCTTTAAGGAATAAAAAATACCAACGGGCTGCAAACTAAGAAGACCTTACGAGACGAGGACGAAGAAGTGTCTGGAAGCAGCTGTGGACGCGGAGCGGTTCTCTCTAAATGAGACGGAATGGACGGCGGCGGGGATAACGTGGCTCATGAATCTGCGGGTAGCTACACAATTCTCCTGTTTGTCTTTAGCTGAGGACGCATGCTTAAAACATAAAGCTAGCAGCTGCCTTACCTTCTAACGCGGTATTACACTATAATAAAGTTTACTTTGGCCGTCTCTAGAAAAACGTGAAAGTGGGGCTCCACCATCTTTTGATTTCTGGGGTTTTACTTGCGCGGGAACGATGAAAATGAATCCCGTCCTCAAACTAAACGAGTTCGATATAAACCAAGAAAGCAAAAACGCCTCTCGTTCAGTTAATTATTTAGCAAAATTCAGGAGTCTGGAGCAGGAGTGTGTTTACACAATGTCAAGGAGGAAAGACATCAGCCATAACCTAAGAGTGATCTGGATTCCACCACCCCTTAGAGAGAGAGAGTTTATTCACAGGTGAAGACATTCAGGATGGCTGCCAGTTTGTCCAACAAGGTCACCCCTAGCTCATCCATCCCAGATGATCCGAGCAGGTTCTGCAGCACCAGGACCTTAAAGTCCACCAGGAACCCCCCAGGAACCCAAAGTGTTCAGAGTCAGACGGGAGGCCGTCTGTCCCACAGCTGAAGCTGGAGCCAGCCCCCCAACAGGACTGAGATCCAAACCCGGCACCAGAGCCGTGCAGGAACCTCCATGTTCTGGTCACCGTCCCGCTGACCCTGCTCCAGAGGGGCCTCCTCCACTTCCACCCCCCCCTTCCTGAGAGGAAGCTGAAGGCCATCCACAGCTTGGGAGCCGGCATCATCGAAAAGGTACCTCCCATCCCCGCCGGCCCGCCTCCAGAGGCTGTCGGTGCCCAGCAGCTAAACCTCAGTCCGAACGTCCCGCAGATCGCTCTGCAGTTCCCGACCCGGTTCTTGGACTCCAAGATCCAGGGAGCCGACTACTTTGGTCACATCCCGCCGGCACCGGAAAAGCGAGGCCTTTTCAGCGTCTTCTACGACCTGGACCCTCAGGTGTGTTTTTAAAGCCATGACCAAGGAGGAGCCGACTGGTTCTGGATCAGAGGGTCGGCTCCTCACTGAGGCATCATGGTAGTCTGAGTATCTGCTCCAGATGTGTGTGTTTAGACTGGGAGGAGAATGAAGGACCCAGTCCTGTGAGGTTCTGGGTATCCGATCCCTGAAACCAAGCTCAGACCCTTTGAGGCCCTGGCTGATGTAACTGTGTCCAACAGGGGAAGCAGGCGGTGTTGATGTCGGTCATCTCTGGCGACGCCGTTCCTGCTGTCTGCGAGCTGGAGGACCAGGAGGTGGTGGGAGAGTGCCTGAAGGTCCTGAGGGAGCTTTTCCCCGAGCAGGTGAGCACCGGTCAGGGGTCCGGTCGGCCACAGCATAGAGGGTCAAGGGTCAGCTGAGACTACCAGGGGAGCAACTAGCTACATGCTGATGGGTATGCAGACTCATTATTATCATGTTGGAGATCTGATTGGACGCTGCATAAACTCAGTTAAGACATCTAAACTCAAGTGTATCATTCCCCAGTTGAACCATCTCCCTGCTTAAGATGCTGCCCCCCAACCCGACCACAGATAAGCGATGGATGATGGAAGGGTAGAAAACTAAAGGGTTATTAACCCTTTCCTGGCCCCACAGCCCCGACCTCTGCTTGTATCTCCATTCATCCCTGTGGAGGGATCACCCTCAGCCCTCCCTGTGATCATCGGCTCTTTGGGCCACTTCTCTCATATTTATCAGCATCAGAACCATTAACTATGCAGCTTAAAACACACCTGATTTCTTAGAGGTCAGAACCAAACCAGGAGAGGCTTCATTTCAGTTTGATGCTCCTCAAATCTGAATCGGTCTTCTTGAAGAGGTGAAACAGGGTTACTACAGCTGAATTTTTTTTAGCCTTTAATCTATTTATTTTATTTGGTTAAACTTATTTTTATTTGTTTTCTTTATCTTCATTGTCTGCTTTTAAAATGTAAGGTACTTTGAGTTGTCGTGGACACAAAACTCAAACTGTAACATAAACCTGTCTCGCCTCATTTTGGATGGGATTTCCCCTCCGCTTGTGGATTAAAGGTCCTCTTCCTCCCACAGGACGTCCCAGACCCTGTGAACTACTTTGTGACCCACTGGAGCAAAGACAGGTGGTCTCAGATGTCCTACAGCTTTGTGAAAACGGGCGGCAGCGGGGAGGCCTACGACGTGCTGGCCGAGGACGTGCAGGGAAAGCTGTTCTTCGCCGGAGAGGTAACTCTCCTGCCTCCTCCTGAGCCGCCCAACGCCGCCATTTGGCAGCTCGTTTTCACGCTTTGCTTAAAACACACCTGAACCAGCACAAACCCAGAGATTCAACCGGCAGCAGTAAGACTCCTAAAACCAGGCACCAATCGGGTGCTGAGATTAAAACCAGATAAAACGCAACATCTGGCAAAAGTTTGAATTACTCCAAAATGTCACAGCTCCTGTAATACACAGAGAAGGAAGATGATTACTAAATGGAGTAGATTTGGATTCAAGCTGAAGCCCAAAGGCAACAGAAACTTGGTGTTTTTGCTGTGTACAACAAGCTGGCCAGAGGGGCTGAATTCCTGTTTTCTGTTCCGGCCAATCAGGGAGTAGAGCTCTCTTCTTCTTTGGGCTTTTTTCCTCTGGTCAGGATTAACTGACTTTCAGACAATCGACCATCTCTGACCCCTCGACTGAGCCCTCCCCTTAAGAAGTTTCAGGATGAAAACAGAGATTTCTTTAAGCTCCAAGAAGTCCAGCTGCCTGCCCAACCCAAACTACCTCAACCAGTTGGTGACAAAAGAAATGAGAAAATAAAATGAACTCTGCGGGCTGAATATTGTCACTTAAACTCAGTGAGGACAGGAAATGGATCACCAGCTCACCGAGTCCGCTGACTGTTTCAGGATTCAGGCTTCAAGAAGCATCAGGATGTGAGGAGAAAAGTCTCACAAGAAGAAGAAGTCCAGCTGGCTGTGTTTAGGCTCTGAGCATCAGTAACCCAGCTAATGCTCAATATGTGACTGTGTTTGATTCCACTGGTTTTAAACCAGGTTTAACCTTTCATTATTTGTCATTTCTTTTCCCACCAGGCCCCAACCGACACTTCCCTCAGACCGTGACGGGGGCCTACCTCAGCGGGGTCCGAGAGGCCAGCAAAATGGCTGCTGTGTAAGCCGGCGGCCTCGCAGCCCTTGGACGCCGGCACCGCCAGACGGATGGCCGACACGGCCGGCGTGGAGCTGAGCGCCTTGGAGCTGAGTGGCGGCATACCTCTGCATCAGGGTCCAGCAGGGCTCTCTGCACCTGCTTTCACACACTTAGCACAACAGCAGGGGAGCTGCTCTATATTTATATCAAATCCCATCAGGGAAAGTGCTTTTTTTAAAATCGAAAACCACCTCAAAGTGCAGCTCTGTCAGATTCTGGGAAGCAGGACGCTGTTTTTACTCCACTTCAGTTCACAGTCAGCACTTGCTTTGATTTGCTTAAAACTTTAGGAAAACTAGGTCTTTAATCAGGAATACCTAAATAACTTTAATATCCTGGGTTTATGGTCGTGTGATCGGGTCTAAAATATCGTTAAACACGGTGTAGTGAGGTAGATTTATTCTTTCTGTGGTTTAGACGGTTAGACTTAGATATGGAGAACTTGTTTCATGTCGTTGGATTTTTCGAAACGTTTAAAGGAGGAATTCGATCAGGACACATCAGCCGTCCCATTTCTTTTGTCAGGGATGTTATCATGAAATCAAATAAGCCCATACGGTGAGAAAAGAGTGGAAAAATAATGAGAATGGACAGTGTTGGATTTAAACAGCTGTTGATGCCGGCGTGTGACTCCTTTCTGTCTCTTCCTGTGTGTCTGAGGCCTGAATATTTATCCTGTATGTGTCTAATAAACTGAGCTCAAAACTGCCGAAAGAAGCGGTTTCACTTGCATTGAGTGTTTCTGCCCTCCTCCGCCAAAAAGTCAGATCAATTCTGATTATTTCTGTTCTACATTTGGTTCTTTCAGTGTGTCTGTGACTGACATGGATATACAGATGGTTTAGCATAAAATAGTCCTTAAATGATCCCTGGTGGTAATATCACAATTTTTTAGTTGGTTTCGTTACTTGTTCCCTATATCTTAACTAATTTCGTTGGAAAAATGTTTTACATCTACT